TGAAAATTAGTTAAACAATTGAAATTGATTTATTTGTTTGCTATATCACATTTCACTTGGATAATGAAATTATATTGTTTTCTGTGCGTTTCGATCAATGTGCAATATGATAGCATATTCGTGATTATCGTACAACCAACACTATTATTTTCAAATCGGATTACATTTGAGTGCACGCGATCAATAAGCTTTAAGTAATAAAGACATTCTTTATTTTTGTTTGAATTTTGCATTCCTTATAGCAACTATTTGTATACTTGTTTATTTTTGAATATATATTTATAAAGTTACACGTATATAGTTGAAATGTCAATTTAACATTATTAAAAGTGATAAAATTATTATGATTATAAAAGTTGTTGGCAGAGTTTAAAGAATAAAATTATGTTGTTCTTAGTTCTGACATGCTACAACTTTGATCGACAAATTGAGACTAGCTTCATTTACGTGTCACTTGAAGCATAAGAAAAAGGCGCGATATTCAAACTTAAAATAAAACCGCTCTTATTTTTGTAAAACGAAAACTGAAACAGTGGAAATGACGTCATTTCTTCTCCAATTGTCAGTGTTTTTCGACCCATGGTTCACCCTCCCCATCCAGGAAGACCGGCATATAAAGCACCCACCTGCTTGGGGTAGACACATCCAGCTAGCAACCGCACTGATTACCATCTATTAGAAATATAAATATAAATGGGAACCTGAGTACTTGGCACGTGGAGTGAACCGCGTGGATTTTGCGGTTGTGCGAGAATATTCGCAAATATGTGCGTGTGTCGCGGCCAGAATCCACGGATGGGTAAGCTCGTAAATTGAAGTGTGCCTTCATGACACGTGCACGAAGAACGCAAAGGTAGATGTGAAGTTCAGTTGATGGGTTCGGGGCACGCATTTTCCATACTGATTGAACGACGAACGCTCAAGTTCATTACCATGTGCTTGGCTGTCTGATAAATCGGCATAAAATTAACAATAAAACAAGAACATCAGCGGGGCAGAACGTTAAAAGTTAATTTGAAGCGGCTCGTTTCTTATGGAGCGGGCGTCATTACATCGCAACGGACGTTTAATAAGTTTTGTATCTGTTAGATACACACGAATGGGCTCGAGGCTATGCGGCTGCCGCTTCTATGCTCGTAAGTACTTGAACTCTTGCTTGTTAGCATATGGCAGGCCATAGGTACGTCCACCTGTCAGCTCTCCCCACTCTATCCCTGTCTCTTCTTGGTTCGCCTCGCTTGTTAGTTGACTTGTTTTTCGGCCCTTCATAAAGCCATTAACTTTGGCCATCATGCCGCTTGTTACCATCGGCTCGGTCTGCCGGATGACAAATTGACTTCGTTAGAAGTTGGGATGAAAAATTAAGCGCAAATTGAAAAATGGTTGAACACTGTGGCCGCAGGTTGTTGTATGAATGCGGCGCTGATTGCTTTATAGCATGGTCATAGTTAATATATTTGCATAGCTGAGCAAGTTATCATGGAAGCTGGTGAAGGTGGCAATGCCTAGAAGCCATTTTTAGTTGCAATTTATTTTGCAATATCCCCCAACACTTAGAAGAAAATAAGATAGGCTAGATATTAATGGAGATTAAGTCGCTTTGGGCAGCCTGAAAATCCGTATGGCCATGATTATGGATCAAAAGCTGTGTCCATTTAGCGATGAATGTTCTACCGTTCGATAGTATGAACTTTTTCTGCTCGGGTGCTAGAAAAGATAAAATTTGGAACCTTATCATGCATAATGCTCTTATTAACTTATTTTTAATATTATAAGTTTTTTAAATATATAATTGGGATTACATTTGCTCAACTTACCATTTAATAGTGATTAAAATGGTGCCGACAAGGTATTATTAAAATAATAAAAACTGACACTATAGTTAACGATCTTAAAATTTATAAATTCCTTGCGAAAATATCGAATAGTTTGTTAGCTCAATTTTGCTAAAAAGGCTCTTTCGTTTAATGAACAGCTTGGCACAAAAAGGCACAAATAGTTCCTCTGATGACTGAGCGGGCTATAATATTATATAAGAATTATGCACAAAATCATAAAACTGGGATAGAGAAATTCGAAATATTAGTTTTATAACGGTTAGTTGCCAATTCATGTAGAATTATTTTAAGGATAAAACCCCTTTCATTTGGCAAAGTGATCTTCTTCCACAAATGTAATTCTCGCTGTTAAAAATGTGAATTTTTCTTTTAATATAAGCATGTACTTCTTTATTTGTGGGCTATCTGGAGATTGGTAAAGACTTATAGAAACAAGTTGGGATATATTTTGGGTCAACTTTGTTTTAAATAACTCTTTAAATATTGTTTTACTAATATGTGATATATTGGCAGCACTATAATTTATATTTCTATTTATTTATATTTGAATTAATTGAGAATGTAATAAACAGAAACGCTAAATTTTTGGTGCAGTGTAACTGCAGGCCTGCAGACAACTCCTTGCCAATCCACCCACAAATTGTTCAGCGCGTGTTAATGGCATTCATTCGCTGTTTTCCTTTCCACTCCACCAATAATTATAGTTGCTTTGTTCTTGTGGTAGTTGCTGTTTATTTTTTGCTGCTGTCTAGACGAATTTCCGCGTATATACCTACTTGCCTCTCATCTGTCTGCCGGGACCGATCAAAAGCATTTGTTTGCACTAAAATCCAATCCAGAAACGTTTCAAATTTATCGCACTCATGATTTTTAATGCCGCCCAGCCTTGGCACTTCCACCACCACTACTACCACGACTCAAATACTAGGTGCCTGGGCTTTGGTGTCCTGCCGCTTTCTAATATCCTGTTTAATTGTCCATAAACAAACGCCCACACTACGGCTTGCCTTTTTAGTCGAACCCCCGAAACTAACGCTTGCAACTTGCTCAAATGCGCTTTGTGGCAATGTCCAACATGTCAAAACACACCTCGACCCTGCCCCTGCCACTGCCCCCGCCCTAAGCCGTTTCCGGGCCTTACTGCGTGTCAACACGCACACCGTTGGCGACGGGATGGGGGGGGACCCGGGAGGTGAGAGTGTTGGTGGCAACTATTGCCGCCATAATTCAGGTTCATACTTGGCTGGCGGGAAAAAGCCGCAAAAACGCGTGTGTTAGTCAACAAAACAACAACAGCATTTGTTTCCTTTTTCACTGCCCTGCCGTTGTCGGTTCTTCCCATTTTTTTACTCATTTTTTTTCGTTCCATTTCATGGTTCAGTGCAGTTAGTTGGGCCATACAGGTTGTACCTTTGGGAAACACAACACTCGCATTTTTCCCATTGGACTTTAGGGGTTGGGTTTACCTTTCTTCGTATACATATATTTTTGGTTAATCTACCAAATTGTCCATTCGAAATGCACACAATAATTGCATTTTTATGCGTTTCAAAGTGTTCTCTTTTGTAATAGTAAGGATACTAAAATTTATTAGTTGATTAGAACTAAGCGCTTGTTCTTTATCCACCGTTTATGTTGGCCAATAACTTATAGTAGGTGTACGCCGATATATCTGAAGTTATAGGTTGCTGTCTGTTGGTGTGCGTGCAGCCAATTAGTTGCGTTTTTTATCGTTGCATGCTTTTAGGAAACGCATAGTGGGCTGCAACTATAAAACTTTCCACAAATTGATGAAACGCAACAAAGTACCAACACGTTAATTCCACTAAATGTCCATTTAAGTGTAAATTCCATCCAAATAGATAAGATTAAGTTAGATAATCATAAGAATCATTTATCAATATAATGTGGGAGTAAATAAAATGAGCGAACCGATTGATTAAATTACACAAGTTAGTGAATACAATAGCTGATTTCGTTCACAAGACAGAAAATACCACAAATCTTATTTGTATAATAAAATATTCTATTATATTAAATAGGCCTTCAAGTGAGAACTCTTTCGTCCAATAACTAATATATTACCAAATATATTTGTGCAGTCCAATAGAGAGCTGAGCACTTCGCTTAAAATCTTTATATTATTTAATGACTACAACTTTTTCAAGTAGTATTCATTTCACAATAATTCAAAATACCACAAAGGTGCACTTAGAACGATTACTTAACAGGTCAATAATCTAGAAAAAGTATCATCATTCATAAATATACCAAAAACATAAAATTAAAATTCATCAGCTTTTTATCACATAATAGTGCCCTTTTTATTGCCTTAAAAAATTACAGAAAAATGATTATATTATCGCAAATGCTCTACATCTCTCGAATGAGCATTAATACTTTACGAGCCTATCAAATTGTAATTACACTCTGTAACTCATATGTTGCCAACCACTGTGCACCACATGGCCACATTTGCGGTCATTTTTTAATGTTTTAACGGCAATTTCTATTCGCGTGGCAGTAAAACATAGTAAGAGATGAAAACAATCGCATGTCAAACGCAAGTTTCACATTTGATTTAATTTATGAGCTGAGACAAATTAAAGCCTATAGCTAACACATTTATGTGGCGACACATGCGTACACATATGTACCTACTCCGTCATTTTTCTATGGAATATATGGTCTGTGGATATGCGTGTCGACAGCTGCGTCTGTCATATGCGCCAATCAACTTTGGCCTCTCCGGTCAAGAAGGGCCAGACAAGCGAACGGACCTCTGCACAATTCTCAAGCTCTCGCAATTAAGTACTATGATGACTATATGGAATGCATCTTCAGTCTAAATATAGAGCTGTGCATGGACAATTGGCATGGGCTGCATGAGTGGCAACATTTCAATATCTGCACGCGTTGCAGTTGCAAGTGCGCCAGAGGCAAAGATACAGTCAAGAATGTCGACAGATAGTCGTCCATGTGCACACTTATGCTCTGATAAATAGGTACAGCACTACTATATGTGCATATGTGGTCAGACTTTCAACTGAGTGACATTTTGATGTTAGGGAGAAAAGTGCTCCAATAAAGTTTTACAGTCTTTTGCAGGAACAATTCGTATTTAAGAATGATATAGTCAGTAGGAGTTTAAATACAAGTATCTTTAAAATTTTATATTTTATTTCTTTTCTGGATGGACAAGTTTTCGCATGAAATTAAACTAGGGTTCTACCTAAAAATGGGTCCTATTTGGGCAAACGCTTTCTTCAATTCAATCATTCCTGTACAAAAAATAAACAGATTTTCTCAAAATAAACTCGAAAAACCTGTGACAAATTTCAAATGACTTCAAATGAAGAGTACTATACTATGAAATATTTTTCCATCGCAAATAACCCATCATGGAACGTTACAATTGAAAAGTCGAATGTTGAGTGTTCACAGCTGTTATGGGACCACGTGTGAGATTACTTTGCACCACATTCAAATTGAAATCACGAGAGTCCATGCGTTCGATATCGTGAACGGACTTATCCACACTCTCACTAAGCGAGTCGTCGCTGAAACTCTGAGTATCACAACTGCTATCCCCGACATTAATATCGGACTCGGTGCTAGAGGAATTTGCCTCGTCAGATGAATTGGAAGACTGTTCGTCAATTTGTTCACACAGCTTGTGAAAGTAGCGTTTACGATCAAAATCAAGGTTATTGGCTGGCGAAAATAGACAGAGTTCGGCCTGCCTAATATTTTCATCCTCCAAATTGTTATTTATAATCTGACGACAGAATCGTGCCTCAGGCTCCATGGAATTAGTGGATGTATCGCATCCTTTTCGACAATGGCGCATTATCCATGCCTTATCCTCGTCACAGTTCACATAGAAGGTTTGACTGAATGGCGGCTTGCGATCAGTGAGCCAGCCCGTTTTTGAATTGAACATACCCTCCTCCGCATCATAGTTATCAGTATTGAGGGAACGCGCCAAGGGGTTTTTTGTCAAGTACGAGGTTGGTCCCACCGGCTGTTGGCCATAGGTCAACTCCCCCTGATAACGCCGATCACTCTCCGACAGATATTTCCAATTCTTGCAGTTAAGATGTCCGTCCTCGAAAGTACCCTCTACGTGCAGACCATCTTCAAACCACATATCCGAAATATTCTTTAGTTTTCCCTCAACAAAGTGCCCCTTCATATTGAACTTGTAGGGTGCTGCAAGCTTCAGTTGCCCGTATCCATGAAACTTGCCGCGTTGAAAGCAGCCCCGATATTCACTGCCATCGGGATAACGATAGCAGCCAAAGCCATCCATGGTGTGCACTTTGTTGCTCCAGGACCCCTCATAGCTGCTATGCGTCAAAAAGCTCTGCAACGGTTCCTGAACCACCTTAGAGGGTCGAAGGAAAGACGTAGAAGTGGATGCCATTAGTATACTTCTGGTTCGTATAGTGGAACCAGTCTCTTTAGTTTCCGTTTTCGAATGCAATTTACTCATGTTGACTGTATTTAGTTGAATATTTGTATGCTGTGTAAATTGTAAAGAGACCAGAGCTAGAATGAGTTACAGACTGATGCCCCGGTACATGTATCGCTAGGTTTGCTGTGATTCAACTACACATACATAACTGAGCAGCTAAAGGAATGAAAATTATCATTTCAAGTAATTAATTATGATCATTATCATTTCCTTAAAAAAAATTGAAAAATTTGATCTTAGACATCCGAAACATGACTAGAAATATGGAAGGAAATGGAAGGAAAAATAGATGTAATTTTTGCGGTCAGCATTTAAAACGTTTATTGTTTAAAAATGCTGAATAAATTGGAAATAGCTTATGACCTATTTTAGAAAGTTTCTACTATACTTCCACTTTAAACCAAATAAAATAAAATTAAATTTTATTCCCTATACGATATGCGACGTCCGTCTGTATGAACTCCAAGATTTTTCGAGTCATTATAGCTTGACCCGCCAAACCTGTTGTAAAGACCAGTTTAATCCAAAATCAATTTAAATACGAAACTTATTTTGTCTCATCATTTTATATAGCTGTATTAGGGCAGAATAGCTTAAGTAATATACCAGAAACTTCGAGATATCGCCATTAAGTATGTATTATATCTATGAGTTTTTCATATTTAGCGAAATCGGTGCATTATATCAGCCATAGAAAGGAATGCTGCAACAAAATTAATCTTAACTGAAGGACTCTGGCGCTTGGTAGCGGGGAATATACTCTTTTATTGATGAAGAAATTGGAATGTTTCTATTGAAAGTACCAGCACTGTTTGTAGACAAGAGAGTGTTGGCGTGTAATTACTTTGACCCGCTTCTGTTAACGAGACAATAACAACACCAATAGCAGCAGTAAACAATAAGGAAGCTTTGCTATTCGCCATATTGCAGCATATTGCCATCAGCTCCCGTCCGCACGCCCCCTTATCTGCCACGCCCACTCCATGCCGCCGTCCAGTGCCGGGTTTGTTGAGCTGTCGTTTTAATACTTTGAAATCCGCTTCAATTGGATTTCCATTGCGTTTGTTGCTCATTTCTGCTTACATCTTCTGTTTCTATTTCTATGTCGCCTCTGCCATGTCACACTTATTTCATTCTCGATACGCAACATCGTCAACTTTGCCAGGAGGAGGGGACATTCACATATACTACTATGTATGTACATATAAGTATATAGTGTGTCGGATGTGTCCCAATTCCTAGTTCTCGTCCACTGTGCTGCTCTTTTTCCGATGCACTGAACAATTTCGTTGCAGTTGACCAAACATTTTCACTGATAATGTCGAGATTATGGCACGCAACGGTTTGAACTTTAAGTTCACATTTTAATGGATTTTCGGGGTGATTTACATGACTGAGGTCACGACTTGGCATCGTTTCATTCCACCATGTATGTACATACCACATGTCTGTTTTTTTTAGTTGTCTTTCTGCCTTTTGATGTGTTGCATCCATGGCTGTAGTGCGGCATTAGTTGGCGTTACTTGTGTTCAGTTCCATCGGATGACTTCTGAATTCTGTCGGGTATTTTGTATGAACATGTCGTAATTATAATCGGTTAGGCTGCATTAAAAACGCTCCACTGACTAATGTTGTGCAATGAAAAGCGACTGCAAAACTGATAAGTAATGCCACAAAAGTTGTTATCTGTAGAATAAGAATTTTATTTTTCGAAGTTTGTGTAATATTCGAAATTTATACTAATATACGTACCCGGTTAATTAGTTACATAGTCAAATAATCTCAAAATATTTTGATGGCCGGCTACTCCCATTTCATAGAACTCCTATCTCGAAAATGAATGAATTCTCTTGAATAAAACAAAATATTAAAATGTACACACTTTGAAAGCTTGGCAAAATACTGCTTTTGATCGAAATTGATTATAGATTTTGTGGAAATGAGTCCAAGATCATGGAACAGCTGACACGTTTGCCAAAGCTGATGTTACATACCTTCCTATCCTACCAGAACCCGGCCGTTTTCACAGCTGAACATTAATAGTGTGCTTGTTTTAATATTTTTAAGACGAATATTTCACAAAATATATAGCTTCATATCTATATGATCTTTTATCTCCATACTACAATATTAAATATCTGATATATTTAATAGAATCTTCAAACTGTTTTTTATAAGTAATACCAACTCTACTAGAGTTCCTAAGTAGTTTATTTTTAAATGAACATTCATTTATCAATCAATGAACATTCATTTATCAATCCTTTAAATTTTCAAAATGAAGCCATGAAAACAACATTTCATTGAGCTTCATTACGTAAAAGAAAGTATCTTTTTGAAAGAGAATACTATTAAATTTTTTATAAAATCCGATAAGCTTGTGAGCAAATTATTTTTCAGCCTGACCAGGTCTCTCTACCTTAGAACAAAAGTTTCGACAACAATAATGCTGTAGACAGCGTCACAAATGTTAGGGAAATTTTGATACATTGAAACATTTTCCTATATATTTTTGTATCTTTGTCCATTCATTTTTATTAATTGAATACTGATTTTTTTTTAATATTTACATGTTAGACTATTTTGTTTGAAAATGCTTTCTAAATGATTTAACCATAAACGAATTATCGGGAATATTATCGTCTATCTTGAGCCACTGCTCTATTAAGTCTGCTTATATGATTGGCAAGCTTCTTATATTCCACAAACTAAATTACTACTTGTATTTGTCTGTCTCGTTACTTAAAGAAATGCATTACAGTTCTTACAAAATTTCTTAACAAACTAATTGGTTTTATATGATTCATAATACATTTCTTAAGAAATCTAAAGGGCCTGTCATAAACGCCTAATGTAAAGCTGATGGCTGTAGTTAAAAAACATTTCATTTGCAATTTTTTCTGACTTTTGCTGACTTCTGTATTCTTTTCGACAAATCTGTGCCATTATTACTCTGGCTTGATAGACAGTAGTCAATAAAAATATTACTAAAAAGTTACAGGCTTCAAGCTCGCATGAGCTGAGCGGCGTCAGGTCTAATGATTAGGGAAGCACCAAATGTCCTTCGCAGATATTTTTGAAACTGTTGGGACGCCGCTTGCGCAGTTTTCCGCTAATTAAAAGAAATGTCGCGCAGCTCAAGTGAGAGAAAGAGAAAGGGAATATCAGGCGGGGAAAATGTGTGAAATGCGCAGGCGCGCACATACCTAAAGGACCGTTCGTGCATATCCTAGGTAGGCAGGGTCACGAACACGCACAGCTGGCTCCTTAATGTTATAAATTTGCGGTCTTCCCGCCCCGAAAATGGACGAGGAAATGCACAGCACATATTTGCGGTGCATGTCAGCGATAAAATTCTGAAAATTCTTCACGCGTTTACCTGAGGCGCTTTTCTAGGTAGATAGGTCGAGAGTGTGCCTTGTCGGGATACCTGAGATGATAGGAAAAATAGTGCGAAAGGGCGAACAATAGTTGCACAAGCAGCGTTGACATGTGACGCGTCTCAGCTTTCGGAATTTCCTTATAAAACACGAGCGGGTAGTTCAGGCGAAACTAGAAGGAAACCTACCCGCAAACGTGATAGATCCTAGATCTCTAGCAGCCGTAAAGCAACTATAAGGTGAAGTCCAAATAAAATATTTAATTCAATTGCGACATACTCGTATTTTTGTGTGATGGTGAAAGTTTGAGCTAATTTATAGCGACTGTCGGGATATATATATATATATAAATATATATATATATATATATATATATATATATATATATATATATATATATATATATATATATATATATATATATTTTGATGGAACGTCTATTTCAATCAGGAGTACTTATTGATTAACCCTAGACTTTTTAGTGGGGTCACAATAAGCCCCAATGGATAGGCGTTTTTGAAGTGTAAAAGATAAAAATAAATCTGGTTCATACTTCAGAGACATTTCAGGTGCGAAACAACTGCGGTCCTTTGATAGATAATTTTAATTCAAAAAAAACTTTAACATATAAATAAACCTAAATAATTTATCTTCTATTATTTACAGAATTCTTGGATAGTTCTCTAAAGAACGAGACGGGGAGACGATCTGAATTAGCCAAAAACTGAAAAATCAAAAGACTTGAAGCAACTCAACCCTCCAAAACAGAAAATCACAGAAGACACTATCGATTCTCAAATCAAAAATGGGCGAGCTTGACGAGAAGGATACACCACCGACCGAGACGACAGCACACCAACAGGAGGCGCTCGAAGAGCCCAAGGAAACGGACAAAATGCTGGAGAAAAAGGACGAAAAATTGCCCAGCCCCAGTGCAGATAAGAAACAGGCTTCGAAGCCAGGCACACCAGTTGGAGACAAAAAATCGCCGACACCTGCGGCAGCTGATGCTGCTGGTGAACCCAAAAAGGTCAACGGCGAAGAGATCATAGACATACCCACTGAGAATGGCACAAAACCAGACGATCGCGATGAAAAGAAAATCTCCAAGGAGGAGCGCGAAGTGAAGCCAAAGAAGATACCGATCGGTGGCCTGAAGCTGCCAGGTTTTTTCATGAAATCCAAACCGAAGGCCGAAGGTGATGGTGCCGAGGGCGAGCTGCTAGAGAAGGAGCACAAGGAGGAGCCCAATGGCGACGCTGCTGCTGCTGCCACGCCCAAGAAGGAGGAGCAGAAGCCACGCAGCAACTTTGGCGAACGTTTGCGCAATTTCTTTGTGCGCAAGCCCGCAGCCGAAAAACAGGCCAAGCAAGTGGCCAATGGCGATGCAGATGCCAAGAGTGGTAAGTGTTCCCGCCTGGCCTTTTTGCTAGATTACCGAGTAAAATTATATTTTATTTCATTTTTCTACAGAGGCTACTGCTGAAGCTGCACCCGCTGAGGGAGCCGATCAATCGGAATCGGCACCGCCACAGAAGCGCGGTCTGCTGAATGCCATCAAGCTGCCCATAGCCAACATGATACCCAAGAAGAAGGCCGGCGAGGATGTCGAACTGGGCCTGGGCAAGGCTGGTTTGGCTTCCATGGAAACGCTGGACGATTCACTCAAGGATCAGGACACTGTAGACAAGGCACCCCTGAAGACAAATGGCGCCGATGAGATTTCCAAGCTGAAGAAGTCACCAAGTGGCGAAATCAAGCAAGCAGCCGCCGCTGGCGGTCCCATCGATGAGAAACTGACCGATGAAGAGGAGGCGCCCGTGTCCCTACTAAGCCGACTGCGCGGCTATAAGTGTAGTGTGGACGATGCACTCATTGCCTTCGGCATATTGCTCTTTGTGCTGCTGTTGGCAGTGATTGGCTATGTGCTGACACATGAGACGCTGACATCGCCGCCGTTACGCGAGGGCCGTTTCATCTCGGCCGTGACCAGTTGTGGAATGGTGGAGGGCGTCAAGGACGATGGCGCCTTTGCCTTCCGTGGCATACCCTATGCACTGGCACCCGTTGAGGAGTTGCGCTGGCGAGGGGCTCAGCCCATCAAGGACATTGATAACTGCTGGAATGGTACGCTGCAGACGCACAACAGCAGTGTGCTGTGCACCCAGCGTCTGGGCAATGGCACCATTGTGGGCGACGAGGACTGCTTGTACTTGGACATTGTAACGCCGCATGTCCGCTATGACAACCCACTGCCTGTCATTGTGTTGATTGGTGCCGAGACCCTAACTGGACCCTCGCCGGGTATTTTGCGGCCGTCGGCGCGGTACTCGCGCTCCCACGATGTTATCTTTGTGCGTCCAAACTTCCGCTTGGGTGCCTTTGGTTTTCTCGCATTGGATGCTCTCACCAAAAATGAATATCCACGCACCTCCGGAAATTATGCTCTGACCGATATCGTAGCCGCTCTCAAGTGGATTCAACTGAACATCGTGCACTTTGGTGGCGACCCGAAGTCCGTCACATTGTTGGGACATCGTGCCGGCGCTACATTGGTCTCTGCTCTGGTCACTTCCCCACAACTCGAGGGGCTCTATACACGCGCCTGGGCCTCTTCCTCGTCAGCCATTTTCCCGGGCAAGACGCTGCAGGAATCCGAGAAACTTAACGAGGTTATAATGAGCACGCTGGACTGCAAGGATGTTGCCTGTCTACGTGCCGCCTCTACCGAACAGCTGTGGGCGGCCACACCAGACACCTGGCTGCACTTCCCCGCCGATGTGCCCACCAAGGAGGAATCGCTGAACACACAGCGTCATGAGTGGCTAGTGCTTGATGGCAACATTCTGCAGCAGCACCCCTCGGAGTCGTGGAAGCGTGAGCACATAGGCAAACCACTGCTGGTAATGGGCACCACAGCCCACGAGGCGCATACTCTGAATCTGCGTGAACGTCACAGCAATTGGACCGCCGAGGAGGTCCGCGCCTTCATTGATGGCTCCCAGCTGGGTGCTTTGGGGTTGACCGATGAGATTGTGGCCCGCTACAATGCCACCAATTACACAGCACTGGCCGCCATTATCACCGACATACGCACCGTTTGCCCACTGCTGACAAATGCTCGTTTGCAGCCCAGTGTGCCATTCTATGTGGTGACGCAGGGCGAGGGTGAGGATCAGCTGGCCACCGTCGATGCGGACGTGCAAGCGATTTTGGGTCGCTACGAGCCACACACTGTGGAGCAACGACGCTTTGTGTCCTCAATGCAGCAGCTCTTCTACTACTACGTCTCCCATGGCACGGTGCCACAATACGATTCCCGTCGCCGAGTCCTTATTGTGGGACAAGATCCGCTCTCGCAGGAGGATCACGAGCATTGCAACTTTTGGATCAGCAAAGACATTGTGCCGCGATATGCGCGCATTGATTAAACCGTCGACTTCGATTTCACAACCTCTTCGGGGCATTTTCTGCTATCTATCTATCCTTAAAAATCCTGTCCCTTCACTCTTCATCCTATCACTGTCTATAATTGAAATTCAATTTAGATTTGAATTCTACGTTCGACTTCGTCTCCCGTCAGTTTAGTTTAGCTTAAGTGAATCTAGTGTTTATATACATATATAAAACTGTACATTTAGTTCTCTTTTGCGAATAAGTGCGACAATTTAAGTTGTAAGTTTTTTAAGCATTGCTAACTCTACAAAATGATATACATATAGTACATACTATATATGTATTGCATACATGGCACGCACACAACTGCATATGTATGTAGAGAGCTCTTGATTATGTGTAATTTATGCATATTGACGTATTTTCTAATGTAATTTTAAAACACACACCACACACAAATACACAAAACTGATACACACGCAAAAACTCGAATAAAAACATAACAAAATATATGAACAATTCTTGAAAAGTATAGACAAAATCGGCGTCTTTCAACTACACTAGTCGGCACATTTAGTTTGGAATTTCTAAAAACAAAATCCGGCATTTGCTAGCTTGGGCTTATTTCTCGATTAATATCAAATAGTTTTTGAATTTCTAAAATCTGGTGGTTTCAACTACTTTTGCCGACTCAACTACACTCAACTAAATACATAAATATATGAAAACGAAATCAATGGGCATTTATAAAACGAAAGCCAAATTGTTTTTTTTTTTTTTGTAACTAAAATTACAATATTTTCAAAATCTAGACCAAAACGCTTAGACGAAGCAGTAACGATGATTTTATATACTATTTAACAGGCATTTATACGCTGGAGTAATACGAAGACTCGAGTGAGTTGAAAATCAAACATTAGTTTTAGTTGCTTGCTGGCAGCGGAGAGGAAGGGATCCAAACACAAAAGCAAAAACTTTTAAATAACTGAAAATATAGAAGTTCAGATTATGGTGTTGATGGGTTTCAAAAATCTGTCAATCTATCTACTAAGCACGTATTGGGATTCGGAGGAACCGTTTATGATGAATTTGGAATGCTGCATTATTAACATTTGAGACTGTCAAGGCTACAATTTATTAGTTACAAAATAGATGAGTAAAATGGACATTTTATGAATTTAAATTTTATTCAAATATATATACTCTACACATATATATACATACATAACAAAAATATGTGTAGTAATTTCTAAATCAAATGTCTGCGCAAAAATCAACAATGACTAACGTCGTACAGCCACGCCCTCTATATACACGATATGTACTATGCATAACATTTTTGTATAGCTTTATATGTATGTTAATAATATAAGATTACCATCAGGAAAAATATGAGAATGGTAATACAAGAAAAGTTAAAATGGTTAAGCAGTAAAAACGGCAATTTTTGTATTGATGTTCTTTTATTAAAAATTTAAAAAACTATTTATTCACATAGTATACAAGTTTGCAAATTATACATGTATGTAGAGTTCTTTCTAAAATGGTGAGGCATGATCAGTAAGTTCAACGTGCACACAAATTTAACACAAAATGAAAGCGATAGAAATCAAAAATCTCGCTATTAAATACAGCATATTGTTCGAAGTGTAAAGTGATACAAATATATGTATATGGAAAAGAACGTATTTGCAAGATCTTTTAATTTAATTACCGGGGCACTCACTTAAAAGGCAAACAGGTTAACATGCTACGGAATAACTTAATCAACTTACTAAAGTCTAGTATCTTATGATTATAACAAAAAATGACTGACGCACATTTTCACAGAAAATTGTATAACTTATTTACCCCCTGAGGAGTTGAGTTTGTAGATACGGCATTTATTGTCTGTCAAAGCTGCCAGATAGGAACCACTTGGCGTGCTCACAGGACAAATATCGTAGACCACCTCATTCACTGGTAACGTCTGAACGCGCTCCTCACGCCGCACATCGTGCAATATCAGCTGTTTGCTGTCCTGCAGATAGCCAACGACCAACGTATTCGACTCAACACCCAGCTGGGTGGCCCGGGTCATGACTGGAGTGGCCTTAGCGCCCAAAATCGTTGCCTTTATTTCAAATACCGGCGTGCCATCGATCTTGGCAAGTTTACCAAGAATGAAACGCGATTGCGGATATTGGGCATTGGAGCGCACTGAAATCAGCACCGTGTCCTGAGACACGTCATAGTGCATGGATAAAAAAGGACCCTCAATGTTGAGGCGGGACGGCACAGCCGTCTCATTTTCGTACTCATAGAAGGTGAGCAGTGTTAATTGGCAGACCAGAAAGCCGCCGTTGCAAAAAGTCTTGCTTGCCGGCACCGATGCTATATCTATCACAGGACTTAGGCAATCTGGAAATAAAGTTTTTATGTATAAAGTGTTAAGAGAAGAAAATAATGGTGGGCACTTACCATCAGCTTTAAATTCACTAATCGTTGTGTCGGGAAAGCGCACATCATACACGTAGGTAACGCCTCTAGAGTCTCCCAAATATAGAAAATTCTCGCGCTCGTTGCGATCCATGCCGCACGACCAGAGCATTTTATCGTTCGCCGAGAAGACGGCGCTGCATTGACGCGAACGTATATCGAAAACTTTAACGCGCGTCTCACGACTGGCCACGGCTAACATATTCTGATCGGTACTGAAGCAAACATCGCGCACCTGCATAGCCGAGGTATGCAGGAAATGCAGCGGCTTAAAGGTGGGCGGATCGATGAAGCGCATCCCGTAGCCAGGAAATAGACTCTGCGAGCTTCTCTGCGACGCAACCAAAGTGGAATGCTGGGACGAATAGAGCAGGACCCGACAACCAGGCTCACGTGTTATTTCAAAGTTCTTCTCCATGTACAGTCTGTAGCTGGGCAGCAACCCAAGCGGTTTGCTCTGGCTGCCTGCTGTCTCGGTAAATGCACCCCGACCTCCGCCGGCACGTACCAAGTCCCGTAGTCGCGCATTATCCATCTCCAGGTTATGGAACTTATTCAAGGTTAGGGTGTGGGCCATTTTTACAGCGGCTAGTTCGGTAGTTAGCGATTGGGTGCGACGCTTTTCCGCATCTAGCTCGTTGCGCAAGCGATGCTCCTCGCTGCGATCAATAGCTCGCAACCTGCGAGCATAGAGGTAGCGCATGTCTCGATTAGTAGCCTTTGTTTTGCACTGAGGGCACACCTTCACAGATGATTGACGCATGCTCTCTGTCAGCCAGCGCCTTATGCAGCTTTCGCCGAACAGATGGCCACAGCGAAGTGAGACGAGTCGATGCTCGCCGGACATTTCCCACGAGTCCAAGCATATTGGGCATGTCGTCCCGTCGTCTTCGTCATCACTGGTTGGTAGTTTTGCAATGGGCGTGCTCCCAGCCTTGGTAGCACTATTGGATATACGCTTGCGCTTCTTTGGCGGTGAGGGTGTGTCCAAATTAATGCGTTCAGTCTCTTCCATTTCTGCAGGCTCAGCGGCTGCTTCGGGCTCTTGTGCTTCGTTTGAGTTGGAAGCTTCGTCAATATCTAGTGGAATGGCTTCAATAGAATCCTCAGGTATCATATCATCTGGCACCTCAACTGGCTGGTCAGCTACAGGTGGTTCCGGTGTAGGTTCGGGCTCCGGCTCCGGCTCTGGCTGCGCTTCATCCTCAGATTGCTCCTCTTCCTCCTGCCAAGGAATTACATCGACACTGCGGCGCTGTGAGGCGGGCAATATAATTAGCTCTTGTTCCGGTGGCGTATGGACGTAATCGTGATCGTGATCTTGTGTAGAACCCAACCGTTGCCGTCCACGTCTGCGCAGGACGGGCTGGAAATTATCCTGCGAGCTATCATAGTTACCGCCCTCAAAGATAAGAACGCCTCTTGCGAGGAGAACTCCATTCGGGTCAAGCTCGCGTTCTTCGCTCATGTCGAGCGCTTCTTAATTAATTATTTTAATGTGTTCGTTCATGAGTTGGAGTTGTCAATTTCAATTCTATTTAAATGTTCGCATCTACGCTAGCGATGACATCTATGCAAAACAAATATCGATTCGTAATAAGCGATGAATCGACTTCCCGCGAAATAAGATATCGTGTAGTTCAGTTACCATCACTATTTCTACTCAGTTCAGAAGTTGATGCCGTTTCTGTAAATTTTTGCGAAATAGCTTAACAAATTGTTAACAGAACACCTCGAAAGTAAATAAAACGATAAAAAGGGTCAAGGAGCAGTTGGAATTAATCTTTGCATCCTTTCAAGTGTTGGTAAGCCTATATAATTGCCGGTAGGCCTTTGTGTCCAATAGCGGCAAAATATTTGCAACAGTGTGTGTGTGTAAGTGCGGAGCAAAGCCAAGAAGAAGAAGGCACGCCAAGACGCAGAGGTACAAAAGTTTTCTTCCTTGACATTAAGTTTTTTGCTCACTTTGAATTTTCAAACGCTTACATAGAGAATTTATAAATGATAAATCACATTGCAAATACGCCGCCACGCGCAACAATATTTGCCGACTAACCCACTGCCCTTGAACTCAACAGAATTTTTGGCTCCTATCCATCCCATTGTCACTGACCGACGCTAACGCGCTGACGCAAACCAGGCGCAAAGAAACGAAAGTCCGCTTGCCATACATACATTCCGTCGCTTCTGCTAAAGCAGGCTTTATTAACCGAAAGTTGTGAAATATTTCGAAGCCGAAATGGCCGATCCAAAAACTCCAAAGAAAATGCTTTCTGCCAAACCACCAGTTTTCCATCACCACAATAGCCACAGCCCCAATGCTTCGCTACAGCTGCCGAGTCCAATCATCACGCGGCGCACACGCACGGCCTCCACGTAAGTATCTTGCCCTTGTCTTGCCTACCGCAATGCTTGACATTGATTTAATTGCCACCTTTCCTTTCCTCCTTCACCATCAACCACTACATGCATACATATATATACACGCACACATACATACTTACATATACAGTTCGGCGCGCGCAATGGAAAATCCTGTGGTTACCGGTGTTGTGAAATCTTTTAGCCGTACCAAAGGACACGGCTTTATTACGCCCAATGCCGGTGGCGAGGACGTTTTTTGCCATGTTTCCGAGTAAGTTGCTGAATAATGCATTTGTCCTTCACACACGCATACCCGCACACATGTATATCCATATAACATATTTATATGCCTATTTTTAAACAGCATCGAAGGCGAATATGTGCCAATGCCGGGAGATGAGGTGAAATACCGCCTTTGCGCCATTCCACCCAAGTATGAGAAACATCAGGCCGTGCACGTGCAGATAAGCAATTTGACGCCGGAGGTCCACCACAAATGGGAGGAGCCTGTTTTTTGCGGCTCGCCTGCCAAATAGGGGCAATTGGCCTTGTGTATTACTTAAAAATTTGGAACACGCCACATACAAACAATAAAAATGCAAAAATATAGCGCAGTTGCCGGTGGCGAAAATGCTCGTAACGAAGAACATGAAATAGAAACGAAGCGAAATTATTAAAACGAACGCGCCACACATCCAGCCAGTTTCAATTAAAAATCTTTATTAATTTATTAAGCTAAGCGAAAACGAATGTCACAAAGTTTGACTTTTTTGAAAAGCCAAGCAAGCAGGCAAGAACCAGTTTTGGAAACTTATGATGAAATTGCATGAAAAATGTAAATTGTTATTAAAGTGCGACGTCTGTGTTTTTGATTTGGAGCCTGTATCAGTAATTAATTTTAATTATTTTTAAATACATATTCATTCGCATTCAAAATCAGCTAGCAAGCAAATGCCCGATTACTTTATGGAAAACAAATACTGCGAATTGAAGTACATACTTAATAATAAACAAATTCGAATTCTTATTAACGTATGTGAGTTTATATGCTAAGATTAAATAATACATATAGTATACAGTGTGTGTATCTGCAGGAGACACAGTCAAATAAGGCATGGTTTGGCGAGCAAAATTTATTGGGCTTATAGAATCCAAAAGGAGGTCTGTATCTAAAAACTATTCTCAGAGGTTACTTGAAAAAATAAATTTTTTCCTTTTAAAGATATAAAAACCAAATGAGAAATTATAAAATTTTTTGGGAATACTAATGGTTCGCTATACTTTTCCATATAGCTAATGTTATTTACAAACGAAGAGGTATTTTTACAAGAGTATATGAGTCTCCGGACGCAAAGCTAACGTACGTTTTTGTGTTCATATCTTATCTGCCAAATCGGGGGAAAAAGTCAAGTGGTGTATTTAGTCCGTAATTAATTTTTTTTGTATATTGCGTGGGTTGTTTTCATATGACTAAATAATGCAGGCCTATGTTGTTTAATTGTCTGTTGTGGGGTGAAGCTGCCTTAATTTTACAAATTCCAATTTTTACGTAATTTAAAGCAATAATTTTATAAAATTGAAATAATTGTATTGCTTGCTTGTAAACATTTTTTTTTTGAATATATATTTCACATTATTTCATTTACATTTTAAATATCGGTTTAATGAAGATTATAAGCTTGAGGTGCCTAAGCTCGTGAGCCGTAACTAGCAGCTAATTATCGATTACATAAATAAACGATACTTCGATATGCGACTGCGCAAAACAATCGGGTGAAGCTCTTGAATGTGAAAAACCCAACGTTGACAAAAAGTTTTCCAATTTGTAAACATATAATGTTGCATTTTTATAGCAACTTTTAAAAATATACAGGAAAATTGCATGGATCAACAAGCCAATTACTTCAAAACGGAAACTAATAAAAACATAGAAAGGAAAAAGAAGAAATATCTGATCAGCCCCATAAGAAACTAAACTTGAAACATGAATTAAAGACCAGATGACTTCAACTACTAGTTCAATCTAAATGAACAAATCTGTGCCTTGCTAAAGTGGAAAGTGAGTGTAAGTCTTATCATCTTGTAAACACTATCCTCGCCATCTCCATGCTGGTTGGCTGACGTGTCTGTCTGTTCCGATACCAGCTGTTTTGTTTTTGTTTTTTGATTAGCACAGGTGCGAGCGCGCGTTAGGTAAGTCGACAGTTATTTTAAATGCAACGCACATATTTTACTGGTCAATAAATTTCAGTCTTATAAACATGGAAGCCCGTCGCCGTGGTCGCAGCTCCGAAGATGATGGCCGGCATTTAATGGATTTGAAATCCACTCACGAGTCCTCTCACGAAAAGCCAGACCTTCGTGGCGATCGCTGCAACATCGCCATACTATTGTTCTTGTACATACTGCAGGGTATACCAATCGGCCTGATTGCCGCCATTCCAATGTTGCTACAAAATCGTGGAGCCAGCTACAAACAGCAGGCGGAATTCTCATTCGCCTACTGGCCGTTTAGTATTAAGCTTCTGTGGGCTCCCATTGTAGACTCCCTATATGTACGTCGATTTGGACGCCGGAAGTCATGGCTGGTTCCTGTACAGTATTTGCTCGGTGCCTTCATGCTTCTGTTATCGCAGCATGTCGATCGCTGGCTGGGTGGCAATGGCCTAGAGCCGAACGTGCCGCTCTTGACGCTTCTCTTCTTTATGCTGAACTTCCTGGCCGCCACGCAGGACATTGCCGTCGACGGATGGGCACTTACCATGCTCAAGCGTTGTAACGTCGGGTACGCGTCCACATGCAACAGTGTGGGTCAGACGGCCGGTTATTTCCTTGGATATGTAGTATTCATTGCACTTGAATCGAAGGATTTTTGCAACACATACCTAAGGAGTGAGCATGGCGCAGAAGGCATGGTAACGTTGCCGCGTTTTTTGTGGTTTTGGGGCATCGTTTTTGTGGTGGCCACTACCCTTGTGGCCATTTTTAAGCGGGAAAATGATATTGCCGACGAACACATGGAGGCGCGGTATACGGAGGAGCATAATCTGAATATTAAACAAAGCTACAAGATTCTGTGGGACATGGTTCGCATGCGTCCCGTTCAAATACTGGCGGCCATTTTGCTCACTGTAAAGGTCTCATTTGCTGCTTCCGATGCTGTCACCTCACTTAAACTAATCGATGCAGGCGTGCCGAAGGAGAAACTGGCGTTACTTGCTATTCCGGTGATTCCGCTGCAGCTTGTTCTGCCATTGGCTGTGGGCCGTTACACAAATGGGCCCCGGCCCATGATAGTTTATTTAAAGGCAATACCATATAGAATTGTGCTCGCCGCCGTGGCATCAATCATCGCATATGCCACGCCCTACCTGATTTCCGGGGGCACTGTGCCCGTCTCCTACTACGTGCTGTTAATCGTTAGCTATGGTTTCTATCAGGTGTTCCTCTACGCTATGTTTGTGGCAGCGATGGCGTTCTTTGCAAAAATATCCGATCCGGCTGTTGGTGGCACTTATATGACATTCTTAAATACATTGTGCAATCTGGGCGGCAATTGGCCAAACACAGTGATCCTCTGGTTGGTGGATGTGCTCACATGGCGGCAGTGCGTCTCAATCGGCAACGAACATGCGAAAGCTATTGCGGACAATCTTTGCTCGAATAAGGAAGAGCAGCAGGAATGTGCCACTGCTGGTGGCAAATGTGAGATTACCTTTGATGGTTACTACATGGAAGCGGTGGGTTGTGTCGTATACGGCATTATCTGGCTAATGGTGGTGCGTAAATGGATCCTCTATCTGCAAAATTTGCCACCACGATCGTGGCTGGTCGTTAAGTCGAAACGTCATCACAGGTAGCAACTAATGGTCTGACACTAGGCTGTGTTGTTAGTTTAGTCGCTTGCTGAAATGTGTTAGAAGAATGACATCGTGTGTACAAGAAGCTCTTAGTAGGACTATTCGCATTCTATTTCTAGGCTAGAAATAACCAATCCATAAACAATTTATACAATTTTGTAGCTAATGCATTTCGCTCTCTTAGTGATTGTAAATTATTCCACGGGAAATAAAATCAAAAAATTCTTATTGAATACTGATTTTCCGATTTTTTTCCGAAGAGATTCTAGATTAAAAAGGAAAGGGGTACTGACTCTCGGCTGCTTCCTGCAGCATTACAATTACATTTGTTTTCTGTGCAATGCTTGGCAATACCTGCAAAATCCGACCGGCTTCATTTACAACACCTATATTGAAGCTCTTACAAAGAAAGAAAGAGTCATAATTGGAGTTTTAAGATGCGAATAAAGATGTTGTTTTATTCGCACCACGGCTGAATTCTTTACAGTTTGAATACGTGCAGACATTGCCTGCAACTTGGTACAAAAAATGTTAGCTTAGTTTTTTCTACCCAAATTTAATTTAACACGTAGCAGCTTCAGATTTAGTAGTACTTCCAGGAGTCGATGGATTCTTGATTTTTCTGTTTGCTCTTACGCTCGATTAGACCGGCCAAATGTTCGGAACGCATAGACAATGAGTCAATTTTTTCCACCAACTGCTGATAAGGACTCAATGGTTGCGTGCCCATCACGACGTGGCCAAGCTTTGAATCGATCTTTGCGTTGAGCCGAGCATTGCGTATTAGATTGACAATCCAGCACTCAGCCTCGTTGGGCTTCATGTTCAGCTTGTCGGCCAACATGCTTATGGTGATGCACTGATGGATGCGGCAGAATGTCTCGAAGATCATAAGACGCGCGTCCTCAACGAACTCATTCAGGCATGCCACAATAAAGAAATCATTTAAAATGACGGTTTGGCATTCGTGCAACTTAAGACGCGCGCCCTCAAAGTCAAAGTTCACATAGAGGCATTCGAGGAACTCAGTTATGGGATCGCGATATGTGTAAGATTCCTGCTGAATAACTTTGATGAGGTCCTTGAGCGCATTGCGACGTGTCCGATTGATAACTACAGCGGTGGCCAAGTAGCGCATAATGTGTGGGCACATGGTCTGTATGGCGTTCAGATACAAAGGTTTGTACAGGAACATCTCAATGATAAGATCGCGTCCTTTGGGATGGTTGAAGAACACCAAAACGGACCAGTGTATCAACCAGGTGCGTTGCTGCAGCGCCTGTATGGTCGAAAAATTTGCACTATCAATGTAATCGCGTAGACGAGTCAAATCCTCCAACGCAGTATTCCAGTTCAGAGTCAAAATCTCGGCAGCCAACTTGCCCCACAGTACGTTTAGGTAGTTCTGGATGAAAAATTTCGGATGATGAATTACGAACACATAAGATAATATTAATACACACTTTATCGTTGGGCGACATGACGATCAGACAGAAATACAGATACGAGGTGGACTCTTGATAGTTGCCGCACTCATACAGATACTTGGCTAACTTGTAGGCGCTTTCAAGATGCTCCACTTTGAAGTTATAGTCCTTCTGCAGAGCATTCACGAATGTCTTCGAGTCCTTCATGCTTTCGCCGTTCTTCAATATGTCCGTGGCCTTCATGATTGGAGCGACTTCGTTTTGTAGCTGCTTGAGTGTAGCCAGCACCTCGGCTTTGCGCTGCACCAGTTCTTCTGGCATTTCCTGGCTGAGATTGAGACGTTTACGCGTATCCATGGTATAATCAATCATGTTCGTTTTGTTGACCGTCTCCAAGATATACTCTAGCAGCTCCTGCTGGTTATAGATCTACGAAATAGCAATGAAAAATTTCCATAGACATTAGGAAAGCAGTTATGGTTTGTGACACGGCAGCAGCACAGCCGCTGCAAAATTTTCTAACCTCCTTGCCACACAGAAACTCTAGCAATGGAAAAGTGAGATGCCGGTCCAAATATTGGCAATTAATCCGCGTTAAATCAAATTGTGCCATGGTTGCTTGTGTGTTGCACTATTTTCAACAAAAATTGTCTATCAATTTCTCTTTAAATATTAGCACAAAAATACGCGTGCTATGACAACACAAGTGTAAAAGTATCGCCCTCTGGCGAAAAGAGATGGAACATTACGACGGCAACACAAGTATGTTTTTTTCTGAGATGCTATCGATAGCATGTTATCGGCATAACATTTCCACCACCCCAATTTGCACTCATATATGAAAGACATTTTTTGCACTTGCCTCACTTATAATTCCCAACCAGTTAGAGCAGCTCGCAATAGGTTCTCTACTTGCTTAGATGAGAAAAGCATACTTACCTGGCGTAGGAGTTAACCATGATCACGAAGGTGGTTCTCCCGGAGTGAGGCTCTGCCATTGCACCTCGGTGGGGTTGACCTCCGCGATTATTCCTAATGCGAATAACTCGTGCGTGTAATTTTTGTTAGCCGGGAATGGCGTTCGCGCCGTCCCGAAATTATAAATACATTGAATTGGGGAAAGTGAAGAGAAGTGCTTGTGGATTTATAAAAAATCAAATGTTATAGAATAAGTATTAAAACGCTTTAGAGTAGTGTGTGTGTGCAGTACTTTAAATTGAGAAAGCTGTTTCTAACTAGATGGAATTTTCAGAACAAACCCTAAAAAAAATGGTTATGATTTTATCAATTTATTTGTTGTAAGGTGATATTTAATATGCATTTTACATTAACCTCCAGTTCTGCGAGGTTCGCTTACATACCGATCATCCGTTAATAATTATTAAGCACTTGGTAGTCAAAGCAGCCAAGGGCGTAGGTAGCTTTTACCAAAGGATAAATAATGCACGATGCATTTAAAAAAATAACGTATGTATATGATCAATGAAAAACTTCAACAAATCCAACTCAGATCCATTTTAAGGCGAAATATTGCGTTTTCAAAATGAACGTGTGGTCGACTTGAAAGCAGCATAGTAACCTGACAAAGTCTTAATTATTAATTAAAAAAAGCCAAACACATTTCTATAAAATCCAGAATTCCCAAATTTCTCCGGCAATCGGCCTTTTAAAACAACCAGATTTGATGGGAAAAGAGCGAAATTCAATTTCGTATATATTGTAAACACGTTCCTGAAAACGTCTGATTTTAAATAACATGATAATGAAATGTATTTCGGGCAGAATTCCGCAAGTGTACTCTAGGTATGTATGTATATTTTTCCCCCTCCTATATTTAAAAAAATTAAAAGAAATTGTTTGCTTGCAACACTTCAATACGTTGAATATTTATTTCATAAAATGTTATTCAAAGATATTAATGCTTTATATATGTATGTATTTGTATATAGATATATATGTATGTATATATGTTATAGATGTATGTATGTATATAGGTAGGTCTATAACTGCCAAAGGGACATTAACATGTTGCTTCACAAATACCAAATATATAATTATAATGTGTAACCACTTAGGTACATACATATATCTGTTTGCTATATTAACGATCGGTTATAAGAAGTTGAAAACACAAGCAACACCTAAAAAATGCGTTTCGATATCGACTGAGATTATTACGTTTGTTCAGTACCGTCATTTGTAATATGTACAGGATGCGCCATCTTTTATGTCGGTATGTAAACATTGAATATCTTTGGAAATAAACAACCGATTTTCAAGTATGAGATATTTTTGTTTAATTTGGTTCTGTACAATTTCTTGAAGTGAGGTTTTGAACACTGGTCTCCTCAAGTCAATCGGTTCACTAATGACAAATTTATTCAATATTTACATACCGACATAAAAGATGGCGCACCCTGTAGTTAAGCTTCGTATTTTTGTATCATTGTATAGGAGATCAGCATACCAATTTAATTTTTTGTTAAAGAACACAAACACGTATAACATTTAAACATATTGTTTTCTAAACTTGATTTAGATTCAGTTAAATTTCTAGTTATTGTCCTTGGATTTGGATATAAGTTTATGAAACTGTTTGTTTGCTTTCTCCTCGGGTTCGTTCAATTATAATATTTTGTTCACTCTTCAAGCACTCTAATTGACTCTTACAACAGCTTTAGCGCATCGTTTTTGGAGGGCATTTCATGAATATACTATATTTTCCACCCACACCCCAGGCAAGTCAAGTCGAGGCCATGTGAGCATTTGCGCTCGTCTGGGCCAAAGTTGTAAAGAATAAAACTAAATATAAACGTATTTAATGGTGTAAAAACGAAAGTCTTTTAAGTGTACACTAAACTAAAATCGCGAAAAATAAAAATCACAAATTTCAAATTGGTTTTCTGTAGAAAACAAACGAATTTCTCTATTATTAGACGATGATGCAGACGCTCACAAGACAGGGACATCGGGCAGAGCCACGGAAAGTGTTTAACCTTTGCACGATGGGTCAACCACACCACCTGGGCCCGGCAGACCGCTGGGTTTTCCAGTTAGATAGGCATCCACTTGTCTCGCTGCCTGACGACCTTCGGTGATGGCCCAGACGACAAGTGACTGACCGCGACGGCAATCTATAGAAGGCAATAAAGAGTGAATCATAAGTACATTTCTTTATGGTTGTTAAATTTCTAAAGGTTACCTCCTGCTGCAAAGATCTTCGAATTGGAAGTGCCGTAATTACCATTACAGGCTTTAATATTGCCGCGAGGGTCGAGCTCGAGGCCCAATTCATTGGGCACAGTCTTCTCTGGTCCCAGGAAGCCCATAGCCAACAGTATTAGGTCGGCTGCAAAGTATTTCTCTGAGCCAGCCACCTCTTGCATGCGCCATTGGCCAGTCTCTGTCTTTGTCCATTCAACTTGAATGGTTTGGACGCCCTTAATGTGACCGTTCTCGCCAATAAACTCTTTGGTTGTGGTGCAATACTGCCGGGGATCCTTTCCAAATTTCACACGCACCTCCTCATGTCCATAGTCGACGCGGAATACTTTCGGCCATTGCGGCCATGGGTTGTCATCGGCTCGCTTCTGCGGTGGTTCTGGCAGAATCTCAAAAGTGGTAATACTCTTGGCGCCCTGACGCAATGAGGTTGCAATGCAATCGCAGCCCGTATCTCCGCCACCAATTATAATCACATCCTTGCCTGCGGCCGAAATGATCTCCTTCTTTCCGCCCAATTGCTTCTTCTGCTGTGCTTCAAGGAACTCCATCGCAAAGTGTATGCCCTGTAAATCGCGGTTGGCTAGCGGAAGATCACGTGGCCAAGTCGATCCCGTCGTTAGCAGCACTGCGTCGTATCTGTAAGCAATGTTTTTGTTAGGTATACCCCAATAAGGCAACAACCAGAGGTGGTACTTACTCGCTTAGCAACTGATCTGCCTTCAAATCTTTGCCGACATGCACATTGGTGCGGAATTCTATACCCTCTTCAGCCATTAAATCGACACGACGCTTTACTACATCCTTGGACAGCTTCATTGTCGGTATACCGTATTGGAGCAGACCTCCCACGCGATCATTGCGCTCGAAAACTGTCACTAAGTGGCCGGCGCGATTCAGCTGTTGAGCCGACGCCAGACCAGAGGGACCAGATCCTACAATGGCCACACGCTTGCCACTGCGTACCTCCGGTATTTCGGGCTTGATCCAGCCCTGTTCAAAAGCATAGTCTATGATGGCGCACTCGATGTTTTTAATGGTCACAGCCGGTTCCGAAATACCCAGAACACAGGAGCCCTCGCAGGGGGCAGGGCACACCCGACCCGTAAACTCGGGGAAATTGTTCGTCTGTAGCAGCTGGCGCAGTGCCTCTTTCCACTCGCCGTGGAATACCAAATCATTCCACTTGGGAATTATATTTCCCAATGGACAACCGGTGGAGTTAGATTGGCAGAATGGTACTCCGCATTCCATGCAACGAGCTGCCTGCACCTTCAGATTCTTGCGCACATGTGGGAAGTTATAGACTTCATCCCAATCTTGTTGGCGCTGCTCTGCGTCACGGTAAGGTGCCGCTTCGCGCTTGTATTTTACAAAACCGCGTGTCTTGTCCAACACACGATCGGCACGCTTCTGCTCCAATGCAATGTCTTGTATGGCCTCTTCGATGTCCTTGATGTGGGGCTCGTGCTTGCCGTTACCATTCTCAATGCTCTTGATAGGCTGTTTGACCAGCGCGGTATTTGTTTGCTGCTCTTCCATATCTTTCAGTGCCTTCTGGTATTCGTATGGGAATACTTTGACGAACTTCGCTTGAGATTCCGACCAATTGTTAAGTATATCCTTGGCAACCTTGGAGCCAGTCTTCTCAATAAAGTCGCGAAGCAATTCCTTAACTTTATCCACATCCTGCTCAAGCTGAAGCGGCAACAACTCAACGGACTCGGCATTGACCTTGGGCTTGAAGGAGCCATCGATATCGTAGACATAGGCGATGCCGCCAGACATGCCCGCAGCGAAGTTGCGACCTGTCAAGCCAAGGATCAATACCAATCCACCGGTCATGTACTCGCATCCGTGATCGCCAACGCCTTCCACGACGGCTGTGACGCCCGAGTTGCGCACACAAAAGCGTTCAGCGGCAATACCTCGAAAATAGGCCGTACCCTCGGTAGCGCCATATAGACAAACGTTGCCCACAATGACGTTCAGGTGGGACTCGAAAGGTGAGCTGTCTGGTGGCGAAATAACCACATTACCACCACACAATCCCTTGCCCACATAGTCGTTGGCGTCTCCCTTCAGTGTAACGTTTACACCGCGCGCCAAAAACGCACAGAAGCTCTGTCCGGCCGATCCCTCCAAGTAGATGTCTATGCTCTTGTCAGCAGGTAATCCGGCTTCACCATATTTACTGCAAGGGAACAAAATGACGAAATGCTCTATGTGGAAAAGCCGCCTTCTGGACACTTACCAAGCAATGTGATAGCTCAGTGTGGAACCAAAAGCGCGCTCCTCATTATGTATATGCATCTTGATGGATACATTATCATCGGTGCCATTAAAAATTTGCTGGGCCTTGGCTATAAGCAGGTTGTCGGAACGCTTCTCCAACTGGAAGTCCTGCTTTACAGAGCCGCCGACTATGTTGGTGCCTGGCCTTAGCTCCAGGGCATTCTGAAGTAACAGCTTCAGGTCTAGGGTTCCGGCTTTGCTGCCACGTTGACTGGTGATGCGCAAAAGATCGGTACGACCAATAAGATCCTGGAACTTGCGAATACCTAGATTGGCCATGATTTGGCGAATCTGTTCAGGGAAAGAGATTACCACAGAGATAGGTTATTTTAATTAAGGCAACACCTCATAACTCGATGCTTACATCTTCGGCGAGCATGAAGAAGAAATTGATAACGTGCTCGGGTTTGCCGGTGAACTTTTTGCGTAAAACAGGATCCTGGGTGGCAATACCAACGGGGCAAGTATTTAAATGACATTTGCGCATCATGGTGCATCCTTTGAATGGAATGTTTTATAATCGGTGCAAATATATTGATAGATCATTACTTACCCATGACAATCAGCGGGGCTGTGCTGAAACCAAATTCATCCGCACCCAGTAGTGCGGCAACAACCACATCGAAGCCGGTGCGGAGTTGTCCGTCCGCTTGCACAACCACTCTGGAGAATTGAGTGCAGGGGCAGAAGAAGCAGGTGCAGGAGCAGGAGCAGAAGCAGAGGGAGACACGACATAGAAAGGGAGGCAATGTTAGGAAATCTTTCATAGCTTTGGTATAAGTAATGAGAAGAAATTACTAATGGAGCACAGCGCGGCGTTTTCGAACGTTCGTGCGAGCGAGCGAGCGAGCGACTGAGTGAGTAGCGAGTGGGTGGAGTTGGACTGGACCCATCGATTTGATTCATTTCATGTGATTTGATTTGATTTCAATTCGTTTCATTTGAGTTGCTTTGCTTTGGCTTAAATAGTGACAATTGGAACGACGTATAACGAGGAGCAAGGTGAGAGAAGAAGCATACGAGACCATCTCGTGCGTATGGTTCTGATTTTGATCGATTATTATTTTTTCTAAAATTTATTATTGATACACAACAAGACAATTGCGACATACACAGCATCATTATCTGTATCATCATCGTCATCATCTTCGTCCGCATCCGCGTCCGCGATTGCGACTGCGTATCATCACATTCCATTTCCATTTGACTTCCCGCTGGTTCGCTGGGGTTTCTGTCTTGGGTCTGGGTGTGTTTTTGTGTGTATTAGTGAAACGTCGTATTCATTGTCAAGCGAAACCACTTCCCACTGCCAACAAGACCAAGGACCAGCCCAATTATTCCAACTAGTGTTATAGTTGTTGATTGTTTTGGGTATTGGTTACTCTTCGTCTTTCAATGCAACGAAATATTCTCATTTTTTCACATTTTTTTTCTCAATTCGCAACATTTTTTCGTGGATATTTTCAATGCGCAAATCTCAAAATCCAACGATGTCATCTGGATAACCAGGCACTTCAGTAATGTTTCGTTTATGATTAGTAACAAAAGGGAGGGTGTTGGTCGGGAGCTTACCTTGACCGCAGATTATTTAAGACAAGTACTTGATGTGTTTCAGCGATACCCAATTCCCAGGGTAGACCTGCGCTCTTAATGCCTGTCCAGGAGCTGGCACCGGTGCCACCATCGTGGCCAGAAATGACAATGTGCTCAGCCTTGCCCTGTCGCAAGAAATCATGATATTTTAAAGGACCAGTATTTCGGAAAAGAAGCATCTTTTATTTACCTTGGCAACCCCGGATGCCACCACGCCAACACCTACTTCGGATACAAGCTTGACGCTGATACGTGCATTAGGATTCGAGCACTTCAAATCATATATAAGCTCAGCCAAATCCTCGATGGAGTAGATATCGTGATGTGGTGGTGGCGAGATCAGACCCACTCCTGGTACGGATTTACGCGTTTTGGCTATGTCTTTTGTTACCTTATAGCCCGGCAACTCGCCGCCTTCGCCTGGCTTGGCACCTTGCGCCATTTTGATTTGCAAATCATCTGCATTAGCCAGATACGAAGCCGTTACACCAAAGCGCCCAGAAGCTACTTGCTTGATGGCGGAGCGCCGGCTGTGCTCTGGCACTTGATCTGTAAAAGAAGTAACACCATATGGTTGAGACAATGAAACCAAGTCGGCCTTCTTAAAACTTACTCAGGTAGCGATCAGAATCCTCGCCGCCCTCTCCGGTGTTGCTCTTGCCACCAATGCGATTCATCGTAATGGCCAAAGTCTGGTGAGCCTCGAGTGAGATGCTGCCAAAGCTCATGGCTCCAGTTGCGAAACTATAGATGAAAAAACGTGAAATCTACTGCAAAAAATTGTACTTTGTAGGTACACGCACCGCTTAACAATCTCACTGGCCGGTTCAACTTCGGACAGATCAATTTTCTGGCGATCAGTTACGAACTCCAGCTGTCCACGTAGTGCGCACTTCTTTACACTATCCAGAGTGGTCTTTTTGAAAGCCTCGAAGGCGTTAAGGTTCTTATTAACTGCTGCCTCTTGCAGGCTTCCAATGGAAGAGGGCTCGTTGATGTGTGCCTCGCCACCATGACGCCAATGATATTGGCCAGGATTGCGTAGGATGCGAGTATCTGGCGATACCTTACCATACGAGAGCTGGAAGCGCTCCAGGCCCTCCTTGGCGAGTATTTCCAGAGTAACTCCACCAATGCGACTCTGTGTGCCACGGAAACATTTGTTGATTAGTTCCCCACCCAGACCTACAGCCTCGAAGATCTGCGCGCTCTTATACGACTGCAATGTGCTGATGCCCATCTTAGCCATGACTTTGGCTATGCCAGTGTCGATAGCTTGAGCGTAAGCGGCATAAATCTGCTTATTAGTGACGTCGCTGTCAATTACTCCATCGTCTCGCAGCGCTTGGGCCAGTTCGAAGGCCAGATACGGACAGATGGCATCGGCACCGTAGCCCAGCAGAACGCATACGTGATGAACCTCTCGCGCCTCAGCCGTCTCCACAATAATGCCAACTTTCATGCGTTGCAGAGTTTCGATGAGATGGTGATGTAGCGCACCCAGAGCCAGCAGAGCCGATACGGCAGCGCGACCACCACTGCCAACCCGTCGATCGGACACCACAAGCAACTGGTAGCCAGCATTGGCCGCAGCTACACCCTCGCGACATATCCGGTCAATGCACTCGATGTAGCCGCTTACACCTTCGCTGTATTGGAATGTTAAGTCCAAGACCTTGGTCTTCCATCCGCGGTGCGTGTTGCGCTTTAGCAGATTGGTATCTGGAATGCTCAATATGGGATTGGGCAGCCAAATGCGATGCACCTGCTGAGCCGAAGGCTGCAATAGATTGGCTTCGGGTCCGACCGGACACTGCATGGACATGACGACCTTCTCGCGGAATGGATCAATAGGCGGATTGGTGACCTGTGCGAACAGCTGCTTGAAGTACTCATAGACCACGGGCTGAAATGCGGACAGGCATGCCAGAGGAGCATCGTTACCCATCGAGCCCAACGCTTCTTTTCTGCAAATACGAAACACGAATCAGGCGCTAGGATCAATTGTCTCCCGTAACTATTCATTGCTTATCACATACTTGTTCTTGAACATCGGAATGAGCAGCATACTGACAGTCTCCGTGGTATAACCGAAGAGCGAGAGACGTGGATCGAAAATGCCACGCTGTGAGGCCGGCAACTGTGGCACATCCTCAGCAGGTGTGTTCAGGACATTTGCATTGCGTATCTCATCCAGCGTTATCTGTTGATTCGGGTGGAAGGCAAAAAGGACGATTGTTATTTCATTCGGTTGATAATACAAGGACAAATGCAGGGGCATGCAACAAAACTACAAAAAATCGCAAAGCAAAAGTCCAACATAGGCACGGGCGTCGCCGTCGTGGGGTCTAAATAACTCACCATCTGTGTTAGTCCACATTAAACATATTTTTTTGGGGGGACGGGGCACATTGAAAGCGTGAGAGAGAAATGGACAAATTTTTATACATTTAATTAAGAATTTTGATTACGAGTGTGTGTCTCGTGTTTCGAACTTGGTTCTCGGCTAACAACGACCTACAGCCTGAGATGATTAGTGGAGATTGTGTATATGCTTTGGATGACTGTAAATGGATGACTGGAAGTGGTAGCAGTCATATATCTTTTCACTTACCTTCTGCTGCAACCAGTCCGAGTGGGGACGCGATTTGGCAATCTTCGACTTCAGCTCAATGTCCTGAATAAACTTCTTTTCCTTTGTATCCACGAGCAACATACGACCCGGCTTGAGGCGACTTTTTAGAGTAACTTGCGATGGATCCACATCATACACGCCCACTTCGGAGGCCATGACCAGCACGTTCTCCTTGGTTATGTAGAAGCGCGAAGGACGCAGCCCATTGCGATCTAGTACGGCGCCAATGTAACGACCATCTGTGAAGGAGATCAATGCCGGGCCGTCCCAAGGCTCCATGACGCATGCAGCCCACTGATAGAAATCGCGCTTCTCCTGAGGCATCGTCTTGTCATTCTGCCAAGCCTCGGGCACCATAGTCATTACCGATTCAGGCAGCGTGCGATCGCTAGCCATCGTGATGAACTCCAGCACGCAGTCGAACGAGCCAGAATCAGATAGATTGGGCTCCACCACGGGGTAGAGCTTCTTCAGGTCCTCCCCAAATAGTTCCGACTGCATCACTCCCTCACGAGCCTTCATTAGATTAACATTGCCGCGCAGCGTGTTAATCTCACCATTGTGTGCCAGCACACGTAGTGGATGGGCGCGTTCCCATGATGGAAAGGTGTTGGTAGAGAAGCGCGTGTGGACCAAAGCCAGATAGGTCTCGAATTCCGGATTCTGTAGATCGGTGTAATAGTCCCACAATTGATCGGATGTAAAGAGACCCTTGTAGACCACGGTGCGATCTGACAACGAACAGATGTAGAAACGACGGCCCTGACGAGCCAATTCATGGCTGGCGCGTTTACGCAGCACAAACACCTGACGCTGGAAGTCCTTCTCATCGGTGCCGGCCGCACGGCCTACGAAAACCTGACGGGACAATGGCTCAGATTTTAATGCCACTGTGCCAATGGCATTCTGATTGGCTGGAACGGTGCGCCAGCCAATTACTTCCAGACCCAGACTTTTGGCCAACTCATCGAATTCGGACTCAGCAGCCGCATGCGTTGCGTTATCCAGATAGAAAATGCCTGTGGCATAGTGGCCCAGCTCCGGCAAGGTCACACCTTGTGCGGCACTGCAACGATAGGTGAAGAAGGCATGGGGGAGGGGCGTAAGTACTGGCACGCAATTTAATCAGTTGATATATTAGAAGAGGCACCACCGCTGAGCCAGACTCTAATTGAAGCAGATTTATAGACGCTGCGGGGTGCTATTCATAGTTGCTAGTTCGAGATCGTTCTTAAGTTCGCCTTAATTTCTCAGTTCCTTCCAGAACGACAAGAAATCATCTTCCCCTTTTCCTTAGTAGGTGTACAATTGATTATGCATCGCACAATCCTTTTACGGTTTTATGCTCATCTTATAATCGGTATTTTCACCTGCTCTCAACTGAACTGTCTCTTCCTTTAATAAAAGCCTCTCTTTTCAGCCATCTCCGGAATCTCTGCCCAGGATCGGCTGTGAGACGGGGCATAGCTTGCCGGACTGGGTAAAAAATCTTCCCCCACCGGGCCTGAGACTCAATTTTTTTCTTATGAAAATTAGCTTTTAAGTAATTCTAAGCTTCTTCTCTGTTAAGATTTTCTTTTTTTCACACCGGTAGATCTATTGACGCCTCTAACCACACTTGGTTGTGAGACGGGGCACGGCTAGCCGAAGGGCAAATAATATTCCCCCACCGGGTCGGAGGCGTTAATTAGATATTATTGTAATTTGATTAGATTTCTCCTTCTTAGGCTTTTCTAGCTTACAAGAGGCTTTTTATAATTTGTATATATTTTCCTCCTACTTGTATGTCGACAGTCAATGTTTGTTGACATAAATAAATAAATAAAAATAAATTCCATATTCATTCATGGGCCGTTCGCTCAGCTGTGCAATTTTTATACCTCCCCCGTACGTCTATCAACCTATACCACCCGATTTATGTGACGAACCAAGTCGCACCTTATCAATATCTCAAGTCGGCTGTCACTGTCAATGCCTGTCAACGGCTGCTCGTACGTCTGCTCTCCTACGTCTCATCTTAAGTGTAATAAGCTTGTTCTTACTACGTCGTATCTCGCAATGCTGGGGGCCACATGGGGGGCTTATATACATATATGCACAACGCTTATACATACATATATACTATACTTATACTCATAAGCAGCAATGCAAATTACTGAGAGGCATATCTGGCGATTATTGTCGCCTTAATGCGGTCCCTGAACTTGGCAATCGGAAACTTGTTGCTGACCCCACCTATAGTACATGTGTACCTACATATGTCCATACACATATTAATTTGCTTAAAACACGCCCTGGCACATACATATCAGGAGCGCCAATCATGTGGCACGTGCGTGTTACGAACGCGTTATTAGAAAATATTATATTTCACAATTCCGAATGGATTTGCATCGCCGACCTGATTGTTATCGGTTCAATCAGACTCGACGAATGCCCAAAACTGTTCTGCCTAGACGCTAATTAAACAAGATTTACAGCTCTTATTCGTGTCGAGTCTATCATTTGCCATTACGTAGTTTTACGACCGGCCTGGTCACAACAAATTGCGCCCCCAATGCCCCCAAATGTCCACAGATTTTATAGACAGCTGGCTACTCGGCTGATCGGCCGACATTTGTCTGTTGGTTTGTACTTTTGATTACATGCCGTCGAAAGCATTTTAGTGATTGGCTTGCGCAGCAAATTTGTTGAACTTGGAATAATTTGCACGCGATCTCTGTGTAGCTCTTAATAATAAAAATTGTTAATGCGTTTTAGTAAGCTATATATATATATATATATATATATATATATATATATATACTCTGAGTACATACGGGTAATACATTCAGTTTTTGGGATTATGATGTACTTGTGGTTACAGTAATTTGATATTTCGGGAGATTTTAGAGTAAGTTATTACCAAAAATTGAACAACTACATAAGAAACTTAAATACTTTAGGACTCTAAAAGTCTATTCGACTTGCTTTCTGGAACGCTTATTTAAGGATTTAGGATAAATTTGTTACAAATTAATAAATAGATTTTAATTTCCCTTCGATAATAGTGTGTTTTCATTTTTAAGCACCTTTTAGTTACAAAATCGAAGTATTTTATGAAATATTGAAAACTGCGCTAATTCCAAAGTAGAAAGACTAAAAATGATGCCTCTCAGTCGAAATCTGGAAAGAAATCTAATGTTGTCAAACAATTTTGAGTTCCTGACAAAAACAAATCTTAAATTGCAGAAATATGTATAATATTCAAAATTAATATTAATGTTGCCTAATAATTTTTTAATTTTACATACACACATAAAATAATAAGTGAATTCTATTGTAGATATTTAATTTAATTATATCTCAAATAAAATTGCTGTAAACGCTATTACTATTGGTAATTTTCCAATTTGGATGAAAACGATCACCATAAGTTTTCCGTGTTTTAAGAAAGTAAAATTAACTTATACCCAAATATTTATTTATAAGCTTCAATTAAGCAAATCTCAATATTCAAATCTGCCAAAATAGATAAATGGTTTCTATTTTATTTTAAAGCCTATGAATTCAAATATTTGGTCCTACCGTATTAAAATTCGTTATTTAAAAAAATGTTTTTAATTCTTAATAACAATTTAATTATACAAATTTATAACCGGAATCGCTTCATTCAAAATTCTTTGAAATATATAAATTATATAATCCGCCCATACACATATATAAAATATAATTATTTAATTTTTTTTCCATTTTCGTACTGAATAATACGTTTTTTAACAACTTTATCTGCTATAAGTATAAAAATTCATTTATGTGGCCATTAAACATTTACACCCGCCATAACTCGTTTCTTAATTCCCAGAACATTTGTCATAAACAAAACCTTACGTTTTTTTTACCAATCTAATAAAATATTTTATATTTTTTACGATTTATCTCAAAGTCTCGCGTGTTTTTCCATTCTAATGTATTTTGGGAGCAATTACAGAATTATGGAATAATATACACAGAAAAAACAAATGTATGCACAAACTTTCTAAACAAGTGCTAGTATTTACACACAAATGTACATACTTATGTATGTATACATATGTATGTACATAAAGAATGCGGCAAAGCGTGACGAAGATGGAAATACGTGCCAAATACTGGCAAAATAAACATGGGTCAGGCCGGGAACAGTGAGAGAGTCGAACTCGAGAGGTAACGCCAGCGTATGCATGGACAGCAAACTATTTTTGACGTACATATGTATGTATGTATGTACACTCGCTAACGACGAAGACCAGAATGGCGGGACTGAGCCAGAAAGCTGTGTGTGTGTGTGTGTGTGTGTACCCGATGTATGTATGTATGTATGTACAGACAGACGGCAGCTGCAGACTATTTTCGTATTTCGCGCACGAGATCGCCACGGTATCGCCAACAGTGCGGCCACCGCCGCCCTCTCCCGGATCAGCCTGCGATGGAGCTGATGATACAATGCATGCCATTCATTAATGGCAGCCGGCACCGGCATCGCCACTGGCAGTGGCTGAAGCTGACATATTGCCAAGACCGAGATCTGTCAAGGGGCGGCTGTATCCCAAGTAGATACATGCATAACATTTGTACATATGTATGGCCCTTCCCTTCCCCTCTCTTATCAGACAAATACTTACAGAGCCTTGGCATAGAGCCCGTGGGGAATGGAAGCCAAAACGCCAGCGCCATCGCCAGTGTCATTGTCACAGGCGCAAGCACCGCGATGATTCATCCGTTCTGACAGGGTCTGGGCATCACGTAGAATCTGTGGCAAAATGGAAGAGCAGGACACTCATTAGTGGAGGGGAGGGGAGTGGATCCAGATCGCCATCGCGTGCTCACCTTGTGAGAGCGCTTGCCATCGATATTGACAATGAAGCCGACGCCACAGGCCTCGTGCTCGTTCTGGGGATCGTACAGTCCCTGTGCTCGGGGTGCCTCCCAAGGCATTTGCTTATCCTTTTCTTCATTGTCATCATCGTGCTCGGCACTCAGTAAATGCGATTCATTGACTGCGTTTCCAGATTCTTCTTCTTCGAAGTCACGTTCCACACCTTCCTCCACACGTTCCACAAAATGCTCAAAATGTTCGTTGTTGATGGTATTATTATCAACAGTTGCAGTTGCACATTCTAATTCGTAATTGTCAGTGGTTATTGGTGCCATTATACGATTTTCGTTGCAGTTATTAAAAATGTTCGCTGTGTGTGTTGTTTTCTAAATTCACAATTCAATTGATTATCAGTTCTTAATATTGTTGTTTTAATCACACACACACTAAGAGAAATTCACTTGTTGGAAAATTCAGTTACAAGTTTTCAATAACAGTTTAATTAACACACAGAAGCAAAATCTGTTTATGATCTGTAAGTAAAAAAAATGAAAGCAGCACAATTTAGTATTTTATTTTAAATAATAGACGTGTACGATTTTAAAAAAGCGCTGCTCTCTACTACATTGAACTTGAGAGCCACTTTGGCATTTTATTTATGCATGTCAAAAACTATTTGGTTAACATTTGTACTTGTACATAGGTGTATGTGTACTATGTTTTATTTTTACATTAAATTTGTATTCAAATATGCACAAATGTCTTTGACATGCACACAATCACCGATTACATGCCTGCCACTTTCGTAAGGTAAATTCATTTTTAAATTAAATGCTTGCCTCAAACTATCTTGCTAGAACACGACGCTTTTGGGGCACACGCGACACTGACGGCTGCTCACAAGCGAATGAGCGGCCAATGAAGAGCAAGGCGTGCATAAAGCGCCAACAGCCGCCAGTGTTGCCTATTTAGCTATTTTCCCGCCAGTTCTTGGATATTGTGATTTATACCGTCATTGGAGTTCAGGTGTATTTTTTACCTAACAAAAATTCCAAAATAGCAATAAATGTACTAACGAACGATTTACATATGTATATGTATTAATGTTAACTAAGATCTAGAGCAACTGCATTTTTATTGCCGTATTTCCTTGTCATATTGTGAATTGCTTTTATAGATTTATTTTATAATATTTAGAAGTAGAATTAGTAATATAGTAAAAACAGCATGGTAGATTAAATCATTCGAATAGTAATAAGTCTCGTGTGAAAACTTTTTGATTATGTTTGATTCCAAATTTCTTATCTGAATAAAATATAATAAATATGTATGTACATCCAACAATAAAAGCTGAAACCTTGTCTTACTTCAATGAGACGAAAAGTAAGCTTTTTACCTGCATTATAATTAATTTAGCTATTTCTGGCCGATGTAGCCATTTTGACACTCAATAAGTGGAACACAGCTCGTGGCGCACTCTCGCTCAAAAGATCGCACTCTCACTCGCTCTCTTACATGCTCCCCATTACTCAGCAGATGTTTACTGTAAATGCAAACAGTTTATTGCGCACCCTATGCACTTTTGTATTGGCCCCTCCCCCTCCCACACCTTGCGGAATTCTTATCAACGTTTCTATGTGCTATCGATTGATTCATGCATGAGTTTTGAATCGAAACCCTACCCAACAACATATGCGTGTATGTATGTATGTATGTATGTATGTATGTATGTATGTATGTATGTATGTATGTATGTATGTATGTATGTATGTACATACATTCACTCCCGTTGCAGTGGCAGCTCTAGAATTTCGCAATTAATTAAGTCGCAATTTCATAGACGACGCTTTCTAAACATTTCGTAAGAATTTGTTGTTATTCCTCAGCTCAACTCATATTAAATAATTGAATATATAAATTCTATTGTTCAGTTTTATTTTACATAACTGCTGGAGCACACATACATACGAATGTTTTTTAAAATGAACATATGGAAATGTTTCTATGTACATACATACATACATATATATGTACATATGTACGCATGCGTGTGTGTATAAATAGCAACTCAAGCTACAACTGTGGTTTTTGCTCGTCCCGCTGCGGGGGATAAACTGTTATACATACATACATATATACGTATGTATATACATAGTTCGCTTGAGTACTGGATAAAGGCTCACTCGGCAGCGATAAACAGCAGCTATTCTATATACATACACATACATACATATGCCCAAGTATGTAGTCATGCATGTATGTATGTATGTATGTATGTACATGTGCACATGCTTAGATATTTATTTGTAAAACAATTTAAAATCATCCCACTGCTGTTATGAGTACGCACATGTGTGTGGGGCTCTCGTAAAGCCCTCTTAACTAGACCTTGAAAAATTGTGCTAAATTATTGTTGCGTTTTTTATCAATTTAGGAACTATTACTGTGAGTATTTGTTATCATCATAAATATGAGTGATATAAGTATGACAATTCCCTCTCAAAGAGCTAGTAAAATATGTGGTTAGCTGATTATATATTTAAAAATAAATAAATAAAGCGACTATGGGAGAATTATTTCATTTAATCTTTCCATTCGTCAGTCTGTTTGTTACGGAATAAGAACAAGAAAGGAATGCTAAAGTCGAGCAGGCTCAACTCTTAAATACCCTGTACCACCCCACAAAAAAGTAATTAAATTAATTTAATTAAATTAATTAATTAATTTAATTTAATTAATTAACTAAATTAATTTAATTAATTAACTAAATATTCCATGCATGCATAGATACATTTACATTTACATCAGAATCGTGCCTTATGCGTGTTTGTGTACTTGTACATATGTATGTATGTGTGCATTGGGCCTGGTTATATGGCTATAACTTTCTTTCCGATCATTCTATCATAATGAAACTTGGTATACGGATATAAAATTACTAACTGGATGTGTCTACCAAAATTTCAGTTCAAAATTCCAAGAATTACGGGAGTTATAGAAAATCGTTAATAGGGGGGGAGTGGGGGGGTGGATCAGAAAAAATGAACAAACTCGTCCTTTCTCGGTCTCAGGAGAATCTGTATACCAAGATTGGTTATTCTAGCTCTTATACTTTCGGAGATCCTTGCGTTCATACAGACAGACAGACAGACAGACAGACGGACAGACGGACAGACGGACAGACGGACATGGCTATATCGACTCGGCTTGTCATGCTGATCAAGAATATATATACTTTGTGGGGTCTACCAAGCCTCCTTCTGTGTGTTCCATGTGCACTCGCACAAAACTAATATACCCTTGTACCCTTTGGGTACAGGGTATAAAAATTAAGCCGAATTCTTAGCAATTTTACGGAATATACTTAGTGCAGTAAAGCAATCCAAAAGTTATATTTGATCAAAATTGGAAATTTTTAAATCAAATATTTCAATATTTTTGAATTGAACACACAAATTTCCAAACATTTAAATTTTGAATAGTATCTGCTGCATTAATAATTTTGCAAAAACATTTGTGAAATGGAACTTTAGAATGTATTATCTTTGTTTATCCCATTTCTTATTTGTAAATCCACTAATGTATTTATAGTACATAAATGCTTCTTAAGTCCGTGCAATTCTACACATATAAACAAATGCACCTTGTGAACACGCCACAGAACGCGCCAATTGAATTTCAATAAACAAGAATTTAATTAGATCGTGCAAATATTAAGACACCTCCAAATACCTGAACAGCCAACAAAAATTTCAATTTCATGGAAACACACATTCACGACAGCTTGCAATAACAAATTAAAAATTTCCAGCTGCATTTTTTGTTTACTGTTTACTGTTCACTTTTTTTTATTTTTGTCTAATATTTATTTTAAAATATGCACATAAATATCGCCAGATTTGACAACTGTTTTGTAGCGCTTATTTTAGAAATTATTTTCGATTATATGGCTGTGCTTCGTGCATTTTAGCAAGAAGTTTTTATATTTTTGACGAGCACTGATCGTGTTATTTATTTAAGAAAAAGCAAAAGTGAAACGGCTTAAGAGATACATTAAACTTATATAATGAATAAATATTCATCGCCCAGAGGCTAGCAAATACTAAAAGCGAAATTAGATTGTGCTAGAAGTCAAACAATTAAAAAATACTAGTCTTTATTATAGAAGAGATTTGTTCATAGAGGCAGTCCATAAAACAGCGTGCAATGATATTTGCAAAATGCAATTACACGTTGTTTATATTTGCGCGATAAATATACAAGTTTTTTAATTGAGTTCATTTGGTACGCACGTGCATAAATGTAGGTATACCTTATCAGTAACTGGCATTGTTGGAACCACAAGGTATAAAAAATCAGGCCCAGGTATTTTAAGATTTGTTGTGTTGCAACGAACGTTCCCATTTTAATCACCTACGAGGTATATACTCGCAGAAAAACTATTAAAGTTTAGTTTAAATGGCAGTCCAATTGCAATTAGATTTAAAATTTAGTATTGGTAGAAAATAAGTTGGGGAAATCAACTGAGACCAATAGTCAGAAATGGTTTTAGAAGGCCTCCTATTTATTTGCGCAACGAACAATATTTTTTCACGCATTTGTCAATATTTTAACTCTCTAATGCTCTCAATCCCACTTCAAATTTTAAAAATCTTAACTTAAGTCCAACAACTGCACCATCTGAACCTGGCATTTTTCAACATGACGCAACATTTATTTAAACAGATAGATTTGTTGGTACCCAAGAGCCATGCCATTGAAAAAATATTTTCTTTCTCTTTTCTATATCTTCCTTCCTTCCTGCATTTGACGCAGATCAGTCAAGAATTTTGTTGGTTGAAAACAAAACCGATCTCTCTCAAAAAGATGTTCTCTGAATGGACACCGCAAGTTCTCCAAAGCATCGCGTGACTGAGAAATTGTTAAATATAAATTGCATTTCGAAACATGTGTTATTTTTGGAATATAGAGCGAAGTATTGTATGAACTCAACAGATTTACGAAATGTTCAAAGTTTAGTATGAATGTTTCAAAGACAATATGCGAGAACGCGTTGAAGCTAAAAAAAATGAAATAAATAAATAAATGCAAATTCGTTCACTGCACAAAATGCTCAATAAAAAAAGCTGCCAAAATTTTCCATGACACGCGCTTGCCTTCCCATTGCCTCTAAATTTATTTAAATACAAAAATTGCTATCACTTAATAGAAATTTTTCCCCTTCGTTGTGCAAAACTATTCTGCGAATCAGAGATTCCAAAATGTGCGTGTGTGTGTCCGTGCGTGTGTTGAATTGAAGATATCAAAAAATATATACATACATAATATATATAAACATACATAGAGAACATAAATTAATCAATCAATTCAAACGATGATAAGCGGCCAAGTTCAATGGTCTATTGACCAACCGAAATAAAAAAAAAAAACTTAGAGAACGCGTGTGGGTCCACAATAGAAATCACTTCCCTGCCACACATACAATAACACTTATCATGCGATGCTCAATAAAAACGAA